AACCTGCTTCTCCCTCTCCCACTCCCCCTGCTTGTGTTCCCTCTCTCGCTGTGTCTCTGTCAAATAAATAAATAAAATCTTTAAAAAAAAAGAAAGGCTTGGGCCTGAATTGCATAAATGCAACCCAAAAGTGAAATGCAATCTACATCATTCACTTTCTTCTTCAGTTACTGCGTATCTTGTAACTTCCACACAACTCCATGTACTCAGAGAGACAGAATTCACCAAGTCCAGTTTGATGGGGACTCATAAGCCTATGATCAATTAAAACCTTTCATTTGGAAGGTGAGAGAAGTCACAAAAAACTGAGTGTCTGTGGGAGATACTAGGTTTGAATGTGTTATATCACCATGTGCTTTTAATAGAAAAAAAATCAAGATGAACGAAAGTAGCATTGCTGGAAAACAAAGCACAAGAGAGGGGGTGGAAAAGTGAGTCATTGGCAAAAATGTTTAGTGTGACGAGAAAAAAAGGGAAGATATGTATTTCCATACCTCAATTAGCTTGTCTCCTTTGACTACATCCAGATGTAAACCAGGTGGGGGTTTACCTGCCCTGAAAAATAAAGAGTGAGAAAAGCATTTTCAGGATGAGTTTGTAAATGCCATTTACAATCACTGTCCCATTCAACAATGCAGCTCTTCTACCAGTCTATAATTAGTTCATGTTCAAGCAGAAATGTCATCTACTTCACTGTTATTACAGCTCCTTTCTACATTTGACACTTCCCCAGTGATTCAATTGCTCTAAAACAGACTTTACTGGATCTGTATTTAGAGCAGCACCAAAGAAACCTATATTTTAACACTGGATATCAACCTCAGAGAAAAAGCAGCACAGAGAGTCCAAGTACTATAGCTGCGGTAGTCTGGTTACTTGGAGTTTGAATCTAAGATTTACCACTACCACTAATACCCTATAAAGGCAGAATAAATCAGTCGGTGTTTGGGGCTGATCAAGATTAGTCTCATCACAGAATAAACAGAGGGTACTGTCCTGAGCTCTGAGACCAAATCAGAGGTGCATAATTAGGGAGCTAGGGCAATCCAAAAGCATGCCCATAAAACCAGGTACCAATAAATACAAGAGATGTTTGTTACTGTTGAACAGGTCTTCCTCGAATGGCATGTTTCAGGGAACTGTTCTCTATACTTCTTATAACACCATTCATGAGGGATACATATACATCAAAGCACCAAACAGTGCCTGGTACATACCAGACTCTGAGGAAATGGTAGGTGATCTCAAATAATCTCTTCTAACTGTAAGTTTACAGTCCTGGTCCAACTTCTTAAATCAATGCAGCAAGGGACCAAAATAGGCATATAATTTGTAGACTGAAATAACTGGGTGCTACAAAAATGCAGAGGGACCCAGAAAACAGCCACACTTTCACTTGCTTCCAGTCTTTGCTCCTTTTAAGTTTGAAGAAAGAACAATCTTGCCAGAGCCCCTACATTTGCATACACACACACACACACTGCATCCTCATCCATCTAACTGAAGATGCAACATAGTCATCTCACAATCCTGTCCCAACTCCTCTATACGGCAGTTGTTGAAAGGACAGTGCATTGGACAAAAGCCCATTCTGTACGGAAAACAGGGAAAGGAAAGTTAAATGTTACATCCACAACATGCCTTCTGAACTCCTACTATGTGCCTGACTTAGGCCTAGGAGCTGGGAACACGAAGATGAATCAGACAGCCCTTGCCCTTGAGGAGCTCAATATAACGGGAAAGAAAAAGGAATTATGCATAAACTGTGATGAGCTACAGCAGAAACAGCTCTAACTCGGATGGGTCTCCTTGCAAGGCAATTCATATGTATTCATCTTGCACCCTGCTCAAAGACTAAATTAAATTACTCCATTATTCCCAAGAGCTTGAGAAGGGTTGAAAGGGGTTCATCTCAGCAATTACTGACGTTCACTTGTGCCCGGCTTCGAGATGGGTCAAGCCGTCCCTGCCCTCAGGGCGCTTCCAGTCTGCGGGAGACAGACAAGTACCGCACGGGAGATGCAGCAACGACAGAGGGATGCGGGGCACTGAGCTTGGGCTGGGGCCGGGAAGCGGGCTCGTGCGCGCTCGGGACAGAGAGCAGGGGGGCAGGTACGGTGCTCCACAAGAGCACCAGGCACTCAGTCAGGAGTTGGGGTAAGTTCGGGGCCAAGGCCCCGAAGCGCCCCAGCAACCGGCTGAATCGCCCAAGGGACTGCCTAAGCGAGCACCCCAGAGCCCCCAAGTCTGGGTTTCCTCAGTTTCTGGGCCCGGGCTCCAGGCTCCCGGTTCCTCCACACGCCGCCCGGCCCGACGGACAGTTCTCCCTCAATCAGCTCCAGGGTCTCTGAGCCGTTCGGCTTGCTGCGAGAAATGAGCCGCCCTGCCAGTCCGGGCCAAGCCACTCCAGCCCTGGCCAGGCCACTCCAGCCCTGGCCACCCCGCCACTCACCAGGTCGGGCAGTCGAACAGCGGGAGGCTGGAGCCGGAGTTCGCGGCTGCCGCCATCTTGCGTCTCCCCCTCCCATTTGGCGGGCCCTAAGCACGCCGGGAAACTGGAAGACCCGAGGGGAGAGGCGGCATCCCAGCAGTCTGTGCGTACGCACTCGCGCGCGCGCGCACGTATACCTACGCACGCATGGGACGTGTCTAGTGGCCGTGAAGACTGGAATCTGATTTTTAAGTTCTTTTCCGGTGTTTTGAGACGGCTGGGCTTCTCTGGAAGAGTCTCGGGAGGGTAGGGCTTTCCTTGGCCGGGAAGTGTCTGAGGAAAGGTGCTTGTAAGGAGGGGTATCGGTCTCCCCTGTGTTCTCTAGACGCCCCTGGGCTCTAAAGTCTTGGGACCCTGTCCTTTTCCTGCGCTTGCACCATCAGCCTTTCCACCCCAATCTGGAGAGAAGCTAGAGGGCAGAACTCAGAGAGTGGAGTGATCAGTTTTCTAACGGCTCTTCGCAGAGCTGCATGCCTGCTACTTACATCCCCTTCCTAATCCAAATCTGGGTCTGAGGATTTCTGTAGATTATCTGGGAAGCTGCTTTAGGGGATCATCTAGTTTGTTTATGAAAACTGGACAAACTGCAGCAAAGGGCGGATCCAATTCGAAGGCAGGCTTCCAAATCTTAAGTGTGCATGAATGAAATAGTTAAGCTGTGGCCCCTTTGGATTTTAAAATTTTGGTCATGGTGATTAAATAGTGCAAGGAAGCATTAGGATTCAAGCCTGCACTAGGCCTACGGTAGGCTGAGAGAGACCAATAAATAGCAGGGCCTCTGATTGTAAAGGCTTTATTGAATGCTTACGTATCTGTGCAAGTATGTTTTATATGGATCATCTCATTTAATCCTCACAACACCGGTGAGATAGGTATGATTCCTGAGGGGAGGCTTAGAGAGATTGAGTTACCTAGTCTCAACCTAGAACAAGTGAGTGGGATTCGAACATAAATCAGTATGATGCCAAAGGCCTTGCTCTTAAATCACCACTGTCTCTCATACTTAGATGTTACAGGTCAATTACATTTATTATTAGCACACAACTGATTCCCAACACTTTTTCATTTTTGTAGAAAACAGGAGAGGATTAGTTGGCTGTTTTTAAAGAAACCAATTGCAAAATTATTGTTCACCCGAAAACAGCACTGCACAGCAAGTTCTCTCTATGATGGAGTTACTTGTTTTCTTGATTCCCTGCTACTGGTCCTTTTTTTTTTTTTTTT